GACGTCACTGTGAAGGGATTTTTTAGGTGAGATTAACAGGGAAATCAGTAGGCTTTGAACAAAGCAGATCGCTCTCCATAATGTGGGCGGGCTGCGTGCAATCAGCTGAAGGCCTTATGACAAAATACTGAGGTCATCCAAAGAGGAAGGGATTCTGCCTCCAGGTGGCCTTTGGACCACAGCTGCATAAGCTGATTCCATACACACACACGCGCATACACATGCACACACACACACACACACGCACATCTGTAGATGTCCTACTGGCCCTGTTTCTCAAGACCTCAGCATGTGGCCTTCTTTGCAGACCAGGATTCACAGAGGTGGTCAAGTACAGAAGAGGTAAGGTGGGCCCTAATCCAATAGGACTGGGCCTTTATAAGAAAGGGAAATTTCTTTCCGATTTGTGGTACTTTGTTACAACTGCCCTAGAAAACTAATGAAGCCCCCCCCCAAAAAACCTTAAGCAACATACCCTCAGACCATTATCCAAAACAATTAGAGGGCTTCCCTGGTGGCGCAGTGGTTGAGAGTCCGCCTGTCGATGCAGGGGACACGGGTTCGTGCCCCGGTCCGGGAAGATTCCCACATGCCGCGGAGCGGCTGGCCCCGTGAGCCACGGCCGCTGAGCCTGTGCTCCGCAACGGGAGAGGCCACAACAGTGAGAGGCCCGTGTACCACCCCCCCCCAAAAAAGGAGAGAGAGAACCAAGAGCACCACAGCTCTAGACATGTGAGTGAAGACGCCATCTTGGAAGTGGATCCTCCAGCCCCAGCCATCCCAGCAGATGCCATGGGAACCAGCTGAGCCCTTCCTGTATTCCTGGCCCACACAAACATGAAGAATAAAAAATGTTTGCTTTAAGCCACCAAATTTTGGGAGTAGTTGGTTATGTAGCAATAGTTAACCAGAACAACTGGGAATCTACTGAAAGCTTCTTAAGATGTATTTGTAAAATCAACCTTGCTTTCTACTTCAGCTTCAGTAGAGCATCTGGATAAATAATAAAACAATTATTAAAAAAAAAAAAAATTAGAAATACACAATAAAAATGACCACAAAGTCTCAACAACTTGGAAATTAAGACAAACTCTACTATGCAAGCAGTAGATGGGTGAGGAAATGAAAACTGAAATTAGAAAGCATCTCCTAATGCAAAGCAAAGAGGAACATTTAATGGCAAACCTACGGGATGCAGGAAAATCTCATTCAGGGCAAAACTGCAGCCTTTGAGTGCCTTAGTTATTCAAGATGGAAGCTGACAAAGGAGGTTAGTGCTTCTCTTAAGAAATTAGGAAGAAAAGAACAAAAAGTGACCCAAAAGAAGATAGACAGATGGGATTCATAAAGATATGAGCTGAAGTCCTGCGCACACGGTGCCTCATGGCCTGCGGCTCCCCAAGGAAGCACGTCTCCAGGCTCTGCTGCTCCAGGCTTCTGCATGGCCTGGTCCAGATTCTGTCCTCGTCACCTTGTCCCTCTGCCTGGATCGTTCTGTTTTCAATCAGGTATGCTCCTGATCACAGCTTCGTCCCCACTGGCAGACACGGATGTGGCTTGTGAGCCAGTGACGCTTCTTGACAAGGGGCAGGTGGCCGGCCAGGGCGAGCTGGAGCAGTGGAGTTGACTCTTTGGGTCTGGCCCTGACGTGCAGCGTAGTCACCGTGAGTCCCCTCAAAGTGCTGGGTTTCAAGAGCTCAGTCTACTGCACAGCCACGTTCAGCGGCATGGATACATGAGGTCCCTCCCCCCATTCACCGGCCCAGGGACACGAGGTGGCGATGACTAGAGCTGCCATGAGCAGAGGTGTACGAGTCTTTGTGTGGATGCATGAATTCATTTCTCTTGGGTAAATAAATACCCAGGAGTGGAATCATTGGGTCAGTATGGTAGGTGCATGTTTAACATCTTAAGACCCAGCCAAACTGCCTTCCTAAGGGTCTGTCCTGTCTCCCATCCCCACCAGCACTCAGTATGGCCAGTCTTTTGTATTTTAGCCATCCCAATAGATGTTAAAAGTTCGGGAATTTTGAGAGTTGATTGTTAAACACTGCCATGATTAAAAATTAAATTGTATAACCTTTCATTTAAATTGTATTAAAAAACCAAGGAGATACTCAAAATTCATCATGTCTTATTTCCCCCCTCGTACCCATGTCACAGTGCACCACCCAGAATCTCTTCTCAACCACATGTTCAGTGATGTCACATGAGTAGCCTGAACGTGGCCTGGTGGGAGTATTTACCCCACAGGAATCAGCACAGCCTACAAACCAGGGCTTCATCTGTTATTGTTCAGTTGATTGTGTAGACTTGAGTCTGTAGTAACTACATTGTGAATAGCAAAAAAAAAAAAAAAAAGAAAGAAAGAAAGAAAAGGAAAAACTTCCAATATCAAAAACTACTATCCAGGGCTTCCCTGGTGGCGCAGTGGTTGGGAGTCCGCCTGCCGATGCAGGGGACACGGGTTCGTGCCCCGGTCCGGGAAGATCCCACATCTTTTCCCAACTATTAGCAGAGGTGGTTGTTTTGCTTTCCCTGAAAAGGACAAAGGTATGTTAATCAAAAAAAAAAAAAAAAAAAAAAAAAAAGAAAACTACTATCCAGTTCGGCAGAGGTTTTGCTCATATCACCAAGGAACATGCGAGGTTCCGGCACACACCTTTGTTGTTTCAGTTTTGTCTTAGTAAGATCAGTGAAAATACCAACCAGTGTTTATGTGGGAACCGCACTCAGCCATCAGTTGCCACCGTGGGTCAGGTACAAATACAACAGTTTGTCAAGTCAACTGAAGGCATTTTGGTGAGACTCAACTGGCCATATGGAATTTAGAAACAGTGTATCGTATATTTTATTGTATATTTTATATAAATTGTAGATTTTATTTGTAAACTGTGTGCTTGCATCCTTTATGTCAGTACAGTTTATAATAAACTTACATACGTCTGTATGTATCCGGATGTATCTGTGCGCATGCGTACAGAGACAGACACAGAGAGACACAGAAATAAATACACCCCACACACGTGTGCGCACGCATGCACACACACATAAATAGGCTTCCGTTTACTTGTCACCATGTATCAGCACATCACAGCTTTCAGACAGCAGAGGGGCAGGTCCCAGCCTGTCTTCTCGGCGCAGAAAGCACACGGCTTGGCCTGGCCAGTCAGAGCATGGGCTTGGGGAGGGCACCTGAGGCCAGGAGAGCGGGAACTGGTGAGGGAGTAGCACCTGGGCCCTCAAAAGGTGAAAGGGCACAAAACCCGAGACCACAGCGGCAGTGGCCACAGATCAGGCCTTCGACCCGCCCACTCGGGCCTGGAGAGGCCCTCTTGGCCTCAACCGCTCATTGAGTCGGTGGCCGGGAGACTGCCCAGTCAGATAAAGGAAGCGGGCCCTGCCCAGGCACCAGGGGATCTGAGGGGCCCTGGCCGCCTGCATCCTCACGGCACCCCTCTCTCTCGGTTCCACCTGCCACAGGCTCCTGGACCAAGGCCCCGCCCTGGCCCTCTCCTGGGTGGGTGCTCTCCTGGGGCAGGGGGCAGTGCACAAACCACACTCCCAAACTGTTCCCTGTGGATCTTTCCCTTATGGCGCACCTGCCCCACCCCTGCCAGCCTGTGTCCTGGCCACACCAGTCTGCCACCTTGCACACTGCAGTGGCTCTAGTCACTCTGACCCACTCAGTGTTCCCGGACAGCCCGGCTGGCTCAAAGCTCAAGGCTTTGCTCATGTGAGTCACTCCCGGTCATGGCTGCCCCACCCCACCCCCGCCCCTTCTCACCTGCTCTCTGCGTCCTGGACAGCCCTCCCCTGCCTTGCCCCATCCTTTGGTGACACAGGTGGGGCCCCAGAGACAGGTTAGCCGGCTCCCCAGCTGAGGCGGCTGCCAAGAAGCTGACCTCGCACAGAGCAGCCTCGCGGCCCTCCTCGGGCTGTGCCACAAGGCACACGGGGCCCAGAACGAGCTCCTTCCAAGCTGTCGCCCTCAATGCGCCAGCCAGCCACCTCTCCTACACGCTCTGGGTCACCTGGAGCGCGGGGCAGCCTGGAGCCCCCGTGGTACCCACCCCTCATGCTTGACGTGTGCCTTTCAGGCCCTTCCCCAGCACCTCTGCCCTCCCCGCGGACCAACCGTATCATTTCACCCTCCTGCCACTCGCAGAGCTGGGACAGGGGCTCCAGGAAAGGAAGGAGTGGGGCTTTGCTCCCGGAGGCCGGGCCTGCAGCTCCCTCTTCCCTCTGTCTCCTCGACACAGATTTGGGCCACACAGATGTCCCTTAGGTCCTGCTCGCTGATTTCTTAGGTCTCTGGGGTGACAAGGCAGGGAAGGGGTGATCATCGATGGCACAGCAGGAGACCAGCCAGGGCAGAGGCCCGTGGCTTGAGGTCCACAACCTCAGCCTGTCGGCCCCTTGGACCAGGCTGTGAACGCTGACGGCTCCCCGACCAGGCTCACCGCAGAGATAGGCCACGAGGGGGCAGCCCTGGGGCGCTGTGCTCGTGCCCCTGGCCTGGCTCCCTCCTGGCCCACTCCGGGCAGGGCGTAGGGAGGAGAGAGAGTGAAAGCCAGCTGGTGAGCAGCTGCCAACGTTTACTGCAAGACGGGGTGGAGGGTGGGCGCCAGCGGCAACAACCTCCACCGGGGCACGGGCCAGGGGAGGGGCCGGGAGAAGGCTCTAGGGCTGAGGGGCAGGTCAGGCCAGGGCCAGGGGAAAGCCTGGCAGGCGCACAGGCCCGCCAGGACGGGCAGCAAGGCACTGGCCCAGGTCCAGCTCCAGGCCACACGGCCCGGCTGAACGGCAGAGGCTGGCACTGCCCTGCTGCAGGGAGTGCGCCTCGTCACCCTGGGCAGCAGCGTTACCGAGCCCCTGGCTCAGGCCTTGAGACTCGGGCCGTCGGATGGCACGTACATGGGCTCGACACGGGCCCAGCTAAGGGCGTGTTCATCAGCCCAGGCGAGCAGCTTGGCGGCGCGGTGCAGAAAAACCTGCGTTCAGGTGATCTCGCTGGCCTTGGCAGTGAACGGGCGCTCCGGGCTCATGCAGAGCATGAGCTCGTCCGGGACCTGGGGCAGCACCGGGGCGTCAGGCTCATCGCGCTTTGGGCTCTCCAGCGAGGAGCGGTGGACGGCAAACAGGGAGATCTCGGCGATCTTGCGGTCCACACTGGGGAGCCCGGTGGCTTCCAGGTCCAAGAAGACGAAGGCCTCAGCCTGGGGTCCCTTGGACATGGTGATGTTTTCACAGGGACAGTGAAGCCTACAGCTGCCCAAACAAGAGACACAGAACCTGAGGGCCAAAGAGACGGGGATGCCTGGAGCTGGCCGCCCACGGGGATGCCTGGACCTGGCCGCCCACAGCTGCGCCCGTGGCCAAGGTTCCAGCCCTTCTGCGTTCACTTTCTGCCACTCCCCAAGCTGGGACCCAGAGACCAGGCCCTGTTACTTCTGTCCAGGATGAGGTGTCCTAGGGGGCTTGTCACCCCATCCATTGTGTCCTTCAGCCCCTCCCCGACCATCCCCACTACTACCACCTAGTAAACAGCATAAGGAAGGCCTGATGTGCCCAGACCCCGGCCCGGAGGCCTCTGCGTCTTGCCTCCAGTATATGGACAGGAAGACTATGCCAGGTGCATGTCACTGGAGACTTGGGGAGGTGCAGCCCAAGATGGTATGGTCACTGACACACAGTGGCCAGGAGCCTCAGGCACAGCACCCCAGGTACACACCCCTGGGGTCGGCTGCCGGGACGCACACAAGAGGGCACCTGAGAAAGCCCTCACGGTGATCCCCAGCCTCCCTGGCTTGGCCTGTGCCCTGGCACACGGGTGCTGGCCCCAACCCGGCCCCCCCGCCTGTCTCCGGGCCGCCAGCAGCTGCCATGCTGGCTTACTGGGAGCGGGCGCTGCTCGGCTTCCTGGGCTGTTGGGCACCCGTCTCCACACAGGCTGCTCCGAGCGGCCTTTAATCGGTGGCCGTGCCCCCCTCCCCCCAGCTGCCTGTCGGGCAACCAGGAGGCCTGAGGCTGCAGGACCTGTGCGGCCGGTTCGCGGCCCCCTCGCTCGCGCACAGCCGCTGGGACACATGCCTCGTGTTTACAGATCAGAAATCCAGCTCCTGGGCCGCAGGAGGGGTCCCAACGACGAGCGAGGAGCGCAGCCCAGGCCGAAGGAATGTGCTGTCACAGGCGCGAGGAGGAAGCCCGAGCCCTCCGCCCAGCCCTGCCTCCCAGTGTGACTTAGGTTCAACACCCAGCCCCAGGCTGGGGCATCTCCAAGGCACAGCTCCCCCCGTCACCAGTGAGCCGGTTGCCCCTCGTGAAGCTGAAGTGAGCTGTAAGGACAGGCCTTGGTGCGGGCTCATCTTCCACCAGGAATGGGAGATGGTATCTGTTTCTCGGATATAATGACCCAGAACTTCTCAGGAGCCTTTAGTGGAGGCTGCCAGGGAAGGAGCAAGGAAAGCGAGGCAGGCGGGGGCAGCCCTCCACCGAGCCCTGTGAGAGCGGGGGCGGGGGCAGCCTGGAGCCACCCAGACCCCAGGCTCCGGGGCCTTCCCAGCCCCAATGGCTCAGTCGAGGGTAAAGGGCACAGTCAGAACAGGAGGGGAATGAGACGGCCCTCCGTGATACAGGAAGCGGGTGACCTCATCCCCGGGACCTGCTCCCGGGGCAAGACATGCCAGCACTCGGCAGTGGGTGCTCACAGGCCCAGTCTCCTGCCGCAGGTCCTCCAGAGTCCCCTGGTCTGTAAAACTGTCAGTGAACCTGGACTGTGGTGCCCAGGGGCCTGCCCGTCCTCCCCCCTCCCACGGCAGCCATCTGGGGGATGCCCTCGGCAGGCAGGGGACCAGGCCCGGGGGCTCTGGCAGCCCAGGTGGAAGGGGGCTCGGCGCCCAGCCCCTGGAGCCTCCTTGTCTGCAGCAGCCACAGAGGCCTTGGGGAAACGAAGGTGCAGATGCAGGGGGCAGGACAGCGTGGGCGCAAGCGAGGCGGCGACCAAGCGCTGAGGGAGGCCCCTCCCCCACGGCCTTCCGCCTGACGCTGGGCTCAGGGAGGCGGGGCCCCACCAGTGGTGCCGGCGCGCTGCTCTGCTCGCGGGAGATACAGAGAACAGCTTCCTGGCCAACCAATCAGGCCACCGGCAAAAATCCCCCAGGCCAGTGCCGGGTGACCTGGGGAGGGAGAAGGAGGAAGCACACGCTCCACTGGCCGCGACCCAGATGCAGCGGGCGCCAGCGGCCAGGCCGTGGGGCAGCAAGGAGACCTCACGGAGCATCCCCAAGGCCGGCCCCAGGGGAGGCAGCGGAACAGGGCGCGGGGCCGGGCGGGGAGCTCTGGCGGCATTCAGCCAGAGGTCCAGCCAGAGGTCGCGAGGAGGCATCACCAAGCTTAACAGGCAGTGGCGGCGGCTCGTGGGACAGGCAGGATGGGGCAGACAACTAAGCAGCCCAGGCCACACAGACGAGGGCAGGATTCACTTCGTGATACAACAAAAACTAACACACCACTGTAAAGCAATTATACTTCAAGAAAGATGTTAAAAAAAAAAAAAAAAAAAAGTAGGCTGGCGGCAACTTCTTAGAACCTGAGCTTTCTTTTGTCCCCAGCTCACACCGCCCCGCCCCACCTCCGGGCCCTCGTCACGCCCCCGCCCCAATCGCTGAAGGTACGGAGCACGTGGACGGCAGCCCGGGGAGCATGGGGGCTGGCCGCTGCCTGGCTCTTCGGGGCAGAGCGCCCTGCGCCCAGGCTACTGCAGGCCATTGGGCAGGCCATCGTTGAAGACCTTGTATTTCCAGGTTACCCCTCCCGTTCTGATGGCTGCAGAGAAAAGAAAACAGCAAAGTCAGTCCAGCACTTCCCAGCCCGTCTCTCCACTGGCCTTCCTCAGGTCCCAGCCCCACCCTCCCCACCCCCCTGAGCCAGGAGCCATGAAGGGAGCCAGGGCCCGGTGAGCACGGCTGGAAGCCCCCATGGGCGCCAGGCCGAGCCCCAGCCCCGGGTCCACTTGCTTGGCCACGTCCCTGCCCACCCCTGTCCCCGGAGGCCAGGAGCGAGGGGCTGTTCTGATTTTGATGCTGTGTGGATTTTAGTCAGACCAGCGACCGGTGCACACCGGTCCTCTGCCCTCCCACACAGCAACGTCGGCAACTGGCATTTGGTCGCGCCCACCCCAAGGGCGCCTCAGCCACCCTCCCTACTCACCATCGACACTCCCTCTGGGGACGATCGCATCTCTCCGCAGATAGGATTTGGGGGTGTCATTTGCCTTTACTAAATCCTCAGGTTTTCCCAACCTCTAGACGCCCCAGCCCCGCTCTGCTCCTGGGGCTCCCCCGACCCCGGGCGCGTCCTCAGCTCACACGTCTCTCCTTTGTTCCAGACCCTCGTCCTGCCTTGCCTTCTCTTGGCTCAGGGCTTGGCTGGGTTGTGTTGTCTCTGGAAGCCTGGGCCCTGCTGCTGTGTCCCTGCTACTCCAGATTGCAGGAGCCTAGGCCTGGGGATGCATCTTCGGGGTCCATCTGCTCTGTACTCAGCCCTCAGCTCTGCGACCTCCGCCCTCCTCCTTCCTTCCTCTGCATCAGGCCTCTGTGCTGCTTTTCTTTGTCCTTGTTTTGTTTACCTGCCCCTTTTCTCTCTATTCTCAAGACTTGTTGCCTCACCCGTTTTCTGCTCTGCGTGGTTTTCCTGAACACTTTGATAACCATTCTTAACTCCTAAGACTGCCTGCTTGCGCTTCTCCTTGTTGGTTCTTCCTAGTTTCCTAGGTATGTTTGGACAAGATACTATGTTAATTCAACTTGGTTGGAAAGTTCTGTTATCTGAATGACCCATGAGGCCTACTTTTCCAGGTCTTTCTTCTCTCTTCCGTGGTGTTGGTCCAGGCTGGGGAGAGGAGGCCCTCAGAGGCCAGAAGGAGGTGGGTTTCACCTGGCCACCAGCCGTGTCAGGAGCCCGAGCTTACCATGCGTGTCAATCATTTTCCTCACAGAAGAGCAGGCTAGTCTCCCTGGGAGCGCCAGTCTGTACAGACCTGCTCTGCTTATGCCCTCTGCTTCCAGCCCACCTGCCACCGTCCCCTCCCTGGGACTGCCGGCCACACAGCCGTGGGGCTGTCCTCTTGGTTGCAGCTTTCTCCCCCCATTGCATCCATCGAATTGCCTCCATGGACTTTCCTGCTTCCAGAAACCTGTTTGTTTTCAAAATGCATTGATATTTTGATGGCCTGGGAGGCAGAAGGGGCTTTGGGTCCGCCCAGTCGAGCCGGTGATGGGTGAATGACGATGGGACGAGCTGCCTACCCACATCGCCAAGGCCCTGCCCACATACTCGAGGCCACGGCTCTGGGCACCAGCCCGGTAGGCACACCCGGTCCCCTCACTCAAGCCCCTCACTTCAGGCGTGGGGATGTGCGACCAACATAGCCTGGCTACTGGCACCCAGATCGGTGGCCTAGCTTCTTATACGGGGAGGCAAAGCAGCACAGACACACGGACCTCCCACAGTGGCGGGCCCGAGGCCGCAGAGACCAAGGCCCTTACTCTCTCAGGCAGACACAAGGGAAACGCCAAGGCCCTTCCAACTGGCCCCTGGTGTGGAGTTGCCAGGGGTCATTTCTCTGCTGCGTCTATAGCCCAAGAACGAGTCTCAGACAACACAAGGAAGCGACACTGACCACAGCTGGGCTGGAGGGCTGAACGGGAAAGGGCGCTCCCCACTTTGGTGCAGCGCTTGCACTCAAGACACTCTGGATTGCACGGCAAGCAGACACTTCTCTGCAGGCACAACACAGAGGGGAAGCGGAGGGGTTCACACAGCTTAGACGGGAAAGGCGAAGGCTGCCGCTGTCCTGTGAGCACGGGGCAGGTGGCACGCCGTGGAGAGCACTCGTGGTCATTAATGTACTAACGAGAGCATGGGCTGCAAGCACAGTACTAACAACAACTACACACACAGGGGTGAGACTCACAGCAACAGCGGTGATGAGGATAAATGTTAGGATGGATATTTAAATGGAGGCTTCTGCTGCAGTTCAGTCAGAAAGAGAGACACTCCTGGGCGCCCAGGTATACATGTGGTGAGTGCGCGCACGAGGCCAAGAGCGGCGAGAAGGCCAGCGAATTCACGCAGACAGCCCCCCAAGGGAGGGCTCGGGGCTATGTGGCCTGAAGCCAGTCCCTGGGGGTGCACTGGGTGGGGGGGATTGACAGGCAAATGCTGGAGTCGCCGTTGCCTCAGGCGGTGGATAAGAGTTGGGGCGAACAGTAGACCAACCAGAAGGCGCAGAAGGAGAGGATTACGGGAAAGATGCCCACGAGGGCTCTGCAGAGCGCTGACAGTCCTGGGAATCCAGAAGGCCACGCGCACGCCCGGGGTTGTGCGGGCACCCAGGAGAGACCTGAGAAGGCCCTGAGCCGGTGCCTCTGCTCGGCCTCTAAGGGGGTGGGAGCAACAGGGAGTGTGGAGGAAGGAAGAGCCGTCAGCCACCGGGCCGAGCGTGGGTGAGAGACACGGAGCTACAGATGCCCAAGGAGCTCAAAAACCTCCAAGTGAGAGAAACGCAAAGCGACCCGCACCAAGACACACTACAATCGCACTGCCAAAAGCCAAAGGGCAAGAGAGGTCGGAGAACGGAAGAGAGGGGGGACTGTGAAAGGGCCTCAGCTACGTGCCGATGAATGTCAGCAGATCACAGAGCCCCACGTGGGCGGTGGGAGCACAGGGAGAGAATTCTCAGCGGGCGGAGACAGCGCTTGGCCGCGGGCAGGCAGAGGTGGTGGGAGTCTCTAGCGGGCGAGGCATGTTCCATTTCTTAGCCGGGGTTGTGGTTACACAAGTACTGGCTTTAAAGTCATCGGAACTGGATTGAAGGGGAAATATCCAACTTTTCACTTTTCTCTCTCTAAGACTCAGAGAGAGAAAAGGCTATTTTTCTTATCACAAAAGAACAACAACAACAAAAACCTTTTCGGAGTGTTTTTGTACCTGAGAAAAATAGACTTACTCAGAAAAAAAGTTTAAAATTAAATTCAGATACAACTGTGCCCCTATCCAACAGCAGAAAGGTTGGAAGGTTCAAAGCCAGCGCTGACGAGGATCAGTAAGATGGAGACCGCTGGCCTCACCGACAAGACGGCGGGAACCCCACCTCGGGATGGAAGCGCAAATGTCGAAACACGTTCACTGCGACCTTTTTTAAACATTGACAATCAGGGGAGAAATTCTCTGCGTAATACATGTTCACTGGGGAATATGTGAAGGCTGCAGAGCAGGATAAAGAAAGACTAAATGAACTAAAACACTTCTGACTCCAACACAGAGCAAACCAACGTCCATGTTCTAGCTGAACTCCTAGAAGGGATCCTTCTACATTTTTTTCCCTTTAGATAAGTGAAATCATACTGTATATTTCTTTTTGTTTTTGTTTTTGTTTTGCGGTACATGGGCCTCTCGCTGCTGTGGCCTCTCCCGTTGCGGAGCACAGGCTCCGGATGCGCAGGCTCAGCGGCCATGGCTCACGGGCCCAGCCGCTCCGCGGCATGTGGGATCCTCCCGGACCGGGGCACGAACCCACATCCCCTGCATCGGCAGGCGGACTCTCAACCACTGTGCCACCAGGGAAGCCCCTGTATATTTCATTTTTAACCTGCATTTTCCTTTCAACATTACACGATACACATTTGCTCATGTCACTGTAATCAAGTTTTGAAACAACAAATACCGTCCCACCATATTCAAATACCAGTATTTACTCAAGCATTACCCAAGGGTAAAACCTTGGATTGTTTCCATTTGTCACTATTGTAAATCCTGCGACAACATCATGTGAAACGGTATAAAACTAAAAATGACCTACAGGGTCAGTAGTAGAAAATGTTAAGTAAATTATAGCAAATGCCTGAAAGGAAGTGTTTGATGATTAAAAATGTGACTTCAAGAACATGGGAAACCTTAAATGTAAATGGACTAAATGCTCCCACCAAAAGACACAGATTGGCTGAATGGATACAAAAACAAGACCCATATATATGCTGTCTACAAGAGACCCACTTCAGACCTAGAGACACATACAGACTGAAAGTAAGGGGATGGAAAAAGATATTCCATGCAAATGGAAACCAAAAGAAAGCTGGAGTAGCAATTCTCATATCAGACAAAATAGACTTTAAAATAAGGACTATCAGAAGAGACAAAGAAGGACACTACATAATGATTAAGGGATCGATCCAAGAAGAAGATATAACAATTGTAAATATTTATGCACCCAACATAGGAGCACCTCAATACATAAGGCAAAACACATCTATGAACTTACAACAAATGACTGGAAAATGAAATTAAAATATCCTTTACAATAAGAGCATTAAGCTTAACAAAAGATGTGTGGTATTTGTATATTTACAACTACCAAACATTGCTGAGAGAGATTACAGAAGGTCTAAATAAATAGAGATCGTGGTTGGGAAGAATTCATATTTCTAAGCAGTCAATTCTCCCCAAATTTATCTATGGATCTAATGCTATTCCAATCAAAATCTCAGCAGGTGTTTTGGTAGAAACTGGCAAGGTGGTTCTAAATTTTATATGTAAATTTTAAGAGACCAGGAATAAATAGCCAATATATTCTTAAAAAGAGAATAAAGTTGGAGGGTTTATTCTGCCTTATTTCAAGATGTACTGACAAGTTACAGTAATTAAGATAGTGAGGTATTGGCAAAAGAATAGACAAATAGATCCACAAAACAAACAAGTGACTCCAGAAATGTGTATATAAGTGCGTATATATGTGTGTGTAGATAAATGTATATGAAATGTACATGTGTATGTAAATGTATGTGTATGTAGATATTTGTATGTGTATGTAGATGTGTGAGTATGAAATAATTGTAAAAGTCACCAACACAATTCAATGGATAAAGTAAAATGTTTTCAATAAATGGTACCAAAATAACTGGATAGCCACATGAAAATAAAAAACCGTTGACCCCTACCTTACACCACACGAAAAAATTAATTTGAGATGGATCATAAATTTAAATTTGAAAGCCCAAGTTATGAAGCTTCTAGGAGAAAGTGTAGGAGAGGATCTTGCTGGTGTGGAGTGGTGGAGAACGGAGAAAGAGACATAGAAGCAGTGATCTGTGATGTCTGGATTACTGGCATCACAAGTTTGTCCAGTCTGTTTGGAGAATATATTTGCCTGATACTTGCCTGATTCTGTAAATATGTTCGGGCTCCTGCTGTTCTCCTGCCCCGTACTTGAGTACAAGCTTATTTCTAAAAGTAAATTCTTCAGTGGGACTCAGATATTCTATATTCTTGGCCTTGATGTTTCTCTTTCTCTTATGCATTGTAACATTCTTTTTCTACATAAGCCTTTGGATCATCTACAGTTTGAGAGTTTGAAAGACAGTTGTCCCAAGTCGGTTGTTTTCAAAGAGTGGGGGGTCCCTGAGTCCCTTTCAGGGAGTCCATGAGGTCAAAACTATTTTTATAATGCCAAGGTATTATTTGCTTTTCTCTGCTTTCATTCCATCTAGGGTGTAAAGTGGAGTTTTCCAGAAGCTAAGTAATGTGTGATACTGCAACAGATTTTAGTGGAAGCAGATATGAGAATTCCACTCCTTCCTACTAAGACATTAAAGGGACTTGAAAAAAAAAAACTAATGAAGTCTTCTCTTTTGTTCCTTTTTTTAAAAAAAGTTACTTTTTATTAAAAATGTATTTTTATGTTAGCATATTAAGAGTTTGCTGTGATTTTTAAATTAATACACAAATATTTTTAAAGTTTCTCATTTTGTTTCTCATAGTAATAAAATAAATTTTAACTTACTTTTAATTAAAAATTAATAATAGTCACAGAAGCTCTTTGGAGTCCTCAATTTAAGATAGAGTTCTGAAAGCAAAAAGTTTTCATTATTTTATTAGCTGCCATTTGCAAAGCTTGGGCAATTTGCTCTCTTTTAATCCTCCCAGCAAACCTATCAGGAAGGTACCCCATTAATCTCCTCCCAGAGGCATAAACTAGGGCTCAAAATCATTAGCCACACAGCTTGCATGCTGTGCAGCTAGAATTTGAAGCTAGTTCTATCTGACCCCAAAATCAAACTTGAAGGAATCAGTAACCTCCTTGCATGCAATATACCTGTTGCTTTCCTGGACAGAGAGGTTGAAGCAGAGGTCAAGAAGACTGGATGAATTATTTGAGATGGCTCAGGCAGCTAAAAGCCAAGACCTTCTGCTGTCTGTTCTACTCCTCATAGGGACTTGTCCTTTCAAATGGCAATTCCTTTTGTGAGAAAGGAATGCCTTCAAATTCAAATGATACTATGAACCTGGTGGAGGTCTGTTCCCCTTATAACAGGCATTTCTAATAGCACAGTATGCAGACTTTGCTGAGCACTCAACAAGGAAGAAACGTTTGTCCAGTTATCACATTCTAAACTGCCAAAATACATGTGCATTGCCTTAAGTTTTTCAATTATGTTACAGGTCAGCTTGTGCATTTTATCTGTTCGACTCTCTTTTGTAAAACAATTACAATGGTAAAAACAAAGAAACTATTGAGTACTTAACTATGCGTCGGTCACCGAGAGGAAGACTTGATACCAAGGTCTCTCTGAATCCTCACAAGAATACTCCCAGGCTGGCAGTGGGGTGTCCTACCTGCTTTACAGATAAGGAGATGGGCTTGCCGAGGGGAAGCTACTTGCCTGAGGTCACCCAGCTAGTAAGTAGGCGGTGAGTCAAGTATCAGACCCAGGTCCGGGTGGTTCCCAGGCTAAGATTCTTAACCAGCATGCATTGCAAGATCCTAAAAGGCAATGTCAATCTGTCTGTGGAAAGGAGTTCCCCAAAGTAAACTTGAAGTAGCCCAGGTAAATTAGGAAAGGGTCACAATTTTATGGTCAGAGATTTTAAGGAAAAACCAAGTGATGCAACCTCTTCATGTAATAAGAAAACAGATACAATTCTTTAATTTTGTCCTTAGCTTAACCCTTCACTAACATCCAGCAGCTCGGAGTGTACAGAGAAAGGCAGTAAATTCCTCATCTGTATCCCAGTGTGCCAACTGTTTTGGTTTTAATTGTGTCAGGTGTGTCTTCCTTCTGCCTGGAGGTCCTTCCTTAGGTTTGAAAATATCATGATCACATCAACAGTGTGAGAGGTGGTGGGAGAGCTGAGGTTCCACATGTGTCAACAACAGATGTGCACGTCTCCTGGAGCACTGGAAAAAAGAGTAATAGGAGTTCCCTTAGGGCTGTGCTCCACGTGCCCCAGGAGGGGATAAGGACGAAAGCCTCTGTAATTTATATTGACTGCTGAGGTAACCAGGTGCTTTCAGCAAGCATTCCAGTTGCAAATTTGGGTTTTAACAACCTTCCCAACAACCTCTGATTCCTCTTAAAAGTTCAGGTTGCAGAGATATGGGAACATATATATATGTATAACTGACTCACTCTGTTATAAAGCAGAAACTAACACACCATTGTAAAGCAATTATACCCCAATAAAGATGTTAAAAAAAAAAAAAAAAAGAACATGGGAAAACGCTTAAAATGAGATCCAAGGGAAAGAACATAATAGTGTACGCATGTTGTAATTCTACTCACCTTACACAAAGAAATAAAAAATGATGAGAGGAAACGGAATAGAGGGAAACAGACCAAAATATTAACACCGACCATCCCTGGGCCACCACATTACGTCATGTTTTTAGTTTACCTCTGCACATCTTTACGCTATCCCAATTTCCTACAATTAATGTTTTTATTTTATAATCCGTCAGAAGCGTTTTCAAGGGAAGGAAAACCTTAAGCATTGGAAAAAGAAGAAAAAAAGTGAGGGGTCAGTCCCCAAATGCGGGTCAAGCACAGAAGGAGGCAGGCACTAAGCCGAGGTGCACCGTGAAGGCCCTGTCCCTGCCCACCAGACGGGTGGCCACAGCCACAGAAAAGTGGTGACCACATACCTAGACTCATCACAGAATTGTCGCCGCCCCAACAGATCTGCTCGCCCTGCTGCTCCTTCACCATCTGCACGGCTTTCACCGAGGTGTCAGTGGCCTCCACGACCGCTTTCAACAGCTGGGAGGGAGGCAGGGAGGGAGGGGACTTGTGGGCTTGAATGCTGGTGGTCTGACCCACAGAAGGCGTCTCCTGCTTCCCACCCAGGTTGACGCCAAACATGTGCATCCACCCACCAGCCCAGGGTGAGGGCAGGTCTTCCAGCTGGAGAGTCACCCATCAGAGCTCCCCAGCCTAACTCCCTCCCCCCGGCCCAGCGGGGACGCCACACTATCACGGACCCCATCCCACACTGAGGCCACGCAAAGCCGGGGTCACGGTGGGAAAAACACTGTCCCAAAGTAAAAGGGCATTTCTGATGGGAGAGGACTGTGCCCTAACTCAGCCTGTTGGTAGAACTGCAAAGGACAAGCTGGTCAGAGGTTTGGAAGTCTAGGAGCTTTTTTGTTAAAAAACCAAGGCCAGCATCATGGAAGCCCTGAGCAAATGTCAGAGTTCCACGCATGGTAACTGTACTCACAGTCATAACCAAACCTAGCATTCCAGGCCAGCCTCTGGGGATCTGAGTCAATACTGATGTAGTCAGCGCAGCAGCGTGAGGCCACTTTTTCTCATCTGTCTGAACCGGGTCAAGGGCTCAGACAGGCAACCATCTGTCTATCTGTCTGGCATAGTTCTTGGCCACACAAGAACGAACAGGCTGTGATACATTTGGGTGTTTCGTGAAGACAGAGTGAGGCCAATACAGGGACAGAAGCTGGAGGCGGGACGAGGGTCTCCCACATTCAGCTAGGACCCAGTGCAGGCCGTGCACAAACCTCTTCTGCACCCGGGGTCTTGGCTCAGTTGGCACTCTCCTGAAGTGCAGGGGGACCCACAGGGGAACATCCCCATCAGCTCTCATCCCCTCCATGGCACCGTGAGAAGTGCCTGCCCCAACCCGCCCAAAGTCCCAGACTGAGGCCTGGGGCCCGGAGCCCAGAGCTCAGTGCGCCACCCACTCGCAGGGAGTCCAAGCCTGTCCAAGCCCTCAGGTCCCTCACTGGGGGCTAGGGTGGCACCTGGGAGGGAGAGGGAGGGGTGAGGGTGATGCTTACTTGGCTGCATGAGGTCAGAGTCTGGTACACGGCCTGGATGATGGGGCCACACGGGCGGAGGTTGGGGCCTGGGCGCTGGCAGCAGTCTCCCAACTCATCGTCATAGACTTGCAGGAAAGCCACGATGAGCTGCCGGAAGTCAGAGATGACCAGGCGCAGCTTCTGGTCTAGGGTGCTGGCGTCGGCCCCACCCACAGCGGCTCCTTGCTTGTGCTGTGCAAAGCACTGCAAAGCCAGAGGCGGAGGGTCCCTTGAGGCTGCCCTGCCTGTCACGGGGCACCAGGTCCCTAACCCACTTTGTGAGGCGGGGTCTGCAGCCCACTCCATGCTTCCCCAAACTGGGAGACAGACAGAAGACCAGAGGCCTGCATGGGCCTCAACATCCTCCTCACGACCTCAGTAATGAGGCTGGGCCCAGGGCTGCGGGGAGGGCCACACGCCGAAAGCCCACCCGAGGACGGTCCTGTCCACGCCTCAAAAAGCCTCCCCACTCCTGCCTTCACGGAGCCTGAGTACCCATCACATTCTAGAAACTGGGGGGCACCCACCACCTCGCTTAGGCCTCCCGACACACTCATTGTAAAGACGGGGTGTCTAAGGCTGGGGTGGGCGACGTGCCTCGCCTTAGGACATGTAGCGGGGCTCCTGCTCCCCTACGGCCGGCGCCTCACCTCCACCCTGAGCGACTGCAGCTTCGAGGCACTCTCCTGCAGCTGCCGGGCCAGCTCCGCCACCTTGTCCTCCTCTGACTCGATGGAGGGGCTGGTCCTGCAGGGAGAGAAGGGGGGACACTTCTGCCCTGAGCCATCACGGGCACTGGGGCACTTGTGCGCCACGCACAGAAGGCTCTGTCCCAGGTAACAGACCGAGCGGGGCGTGTACCTCTGCCAGGCATTGCTCTGCTTGTCGAGAAGTGGCTGCACGCCCAGGGGCCACGCATCACACTCGGGGCTCAGGAGCATCTGCAGGTGGGGGCTCAAGAAGAACTCCCCCAGCAGCGCCTCATTCTTCTCCCTGGTGTCCTCGAAGTGCTCTTTCACACTGCAAAGGCAGCCCCAGGGCCACGCCATCACCGGCCAGAGACCCCAGAGGCCAGATGAGACCGGGCAGAGAGGCCAGGAGAAGGCATCTCCTCCAGTCTCCGAGAGCCCACCCTCGTGCGGAGACACCGCGGGTGCCCACCCTCCGCCGGGGTCAGCCCGTGTTCTCCGAGGCCCGCACTACACCTTCATGCCGACAGCCTGGCACCTCGGGTGGCACCCCGGGATGGGGGTGGGGCTTCCTGCCTAGGCTTGAGGCCCACAGCTCCTGGGCTACGGAGCAGCCGCCTCTACGGGAGCGGGGAGCGGGGAGCGGAGCCCCAGCCGGAGCTCGGCCCGGGGCCAGCTCCAGACGGAGGACCAAGGGCACCCACCCACCGTTCCAGGGAGGGCCCGTCCCGGGCCTTTACCTGTGGCAGCTGGAGCCTCCGACAGTCAGGCTCCGGACCACGTCCAGCAGCTGGTCCATGAAGTGCAGCTGCTTCTGGGCACAGGCCCGGCCCTGGGCAGGAAAGGCCACATGCACTCACTGGCCAGGCATGCCACGTGCCCCCAGCCTGCAGCTGGCCCCACCGGGCCACTAGCAACCTGGCCCCTACCCAGCAGCGTCGTGGACTGGCTTGGGGCCCCTGGCACAGCAAGACAGGCCATGGCTGTGGCCTGCGCCGAACCCACTCCTTGCGGGGAACAAGAACTCGTCCCCAAGGGGCGGCAAGCAGCCAGGCCTTACAGCCAGGCCTCCCAAGTGGCAGCTGACTCAGCCCCCTACCCCAAAGGCGGCTGGGACTCCCAGCAGGGAGCTGCCCAGCCAGGAGCTCAACTCCTTCCTCCTTCCAGAAAGGGGAGGAGGCTCACGGCTGATCCCCATGATGTAAATACAACCTGAGGGGCCCAGCCTGCTCCCTAGAGCCCTGTATAAGCAAAGGATGCTGGGAGGTAAGCTGGGCCCGGCTCTCCGCTCGAGCTCCTCGCTGGCCTGCCCTGACACACCGCTATTCTGGGGAACGCACCAGAATGATGTGCTCAGCCAGCATCACCGGTGACTGACTCAGTATAAAGCCCTCCAAGAAGCACCTGCATTTAAAGTGGGCTGAGAGTTCGGTGCTTTGTGTCCACCTAGAGGGGTGGGAGAGGGAGGGTGGGAGGCAGACGCAAGAGGGAGGAGATGTGGGGATATATGTATACATATACCTGATTCACTTTGTTATAAAGCAGAAACTGACACACCACTGTAAAGCAATTATACTCCAATAAAGGTGTTTAAGATAAATAAATAAATAAAGTGGCCTGAGAGGGAGAGGGCTGAGAGGCTCCTGGTGGCATCTCAGGCCGGGCAGCCCTGTGTAGGGAGCAGATCTGGGGACAGGGCCACATTCTGCTATCATGTGTGCAACTCAGTTCCCCGTTCACGAGTCTCATGGCTGCGGCTGCCTGGCACTCCTGCCAAGCCTGGCTCTCGGCTGTGTAGCCACGTTGACAGGACCAGTGCCTCTGGAAGCTTCTGGCATCTCCATCTCCTTGCCCTCGGCCTGCCACTGGCTGCTCACCACTACCTCTTGTTGACTCATTCTCCCAACCTGGCCAAACAACACTGAGCCTGAATGATACACCTGAGGGGAAGCCTGGGAATAGGAGGTGGGAGGTGGGACACTGTCTAGACAGAGGAAATCCTGGGCGGAAATATGAGACCAAGTGCCACTCAGGATCTCACAAAGCCTTGACCAGCGGCCAGGGTTGTGTGCCGTCCCCTCCTCAACAGACCCGGCTCCAGGAGACCCCCCGCCAAGCCCAGGAAAGGGTAAGTGCCCCTCACAGCCTGTACACTGAAAGCTACAAAACATCTCTAAGAAAAATTAAAGAAAACCTAAATACGTGGAAACACAGCCCATGCTCAAGGATAGAAAGAGTTAATATGGTTGATGGCAGTACTTGCCAAAGTGGTCTACAAATTCAACACAATCTTCATCAAAATCCCAATTGGATTTTTTGCACAAATTGACAAGCTGATTCTAAAGTTCATATGCAAATTCAAGGGACCCCTAATAGCCAAAACAACCTTAAAAAAGAGCAAAGTTGGAGGATGCACATGTCACAATTTACTACAAAGCTACAGTAATCAAGGCAGTGTGGTACTGGCATAAGGACAGACATATAAATCAATGGAATAGAATAGAGAATCCAGAAATAAACCCTCACTTTTACGTTAACTGATTTTCCACAAGGATGCCAAGGTCTTTTCACTGGTGCTGGGAAAACTGGATAGCCACATGCAAAAGAATGAAGTTGGATACATACCTTACACCACGCATAAAACTAACTCAAAATGGGTCGAAGATCTAAATATAAGAGCTAAAACTATAAAACTCTTAGAAGAAAACACAGGTGTCAATCTTAATGATAGACTCTTATATATGAAACCAAAAGCACAAGCAACAAAAGAAAAATAGATAAATTGGATTTTCAACAATGCTAAAAACTTTTGTGCTCCAAAGGACACATCGAGAAAGGGAAAAGACAATCCACAGAATGGGAGAAAATATTTGTAAATCAAATATTTGATGTGACTTATACCCAGGATATATAAAGAATTCTTACAACTCAATAATAAAAAGACAAATAACCCAATTAAAAAGTGGGCAACGGAAGCGAATAGAGACTTTTCTCCAAAAAAGATATATAAATGGCTAATAAGCACATGAGAGGATGTTCAACATCATTAGTCATCAGGGAAATGCTAACCCTTCACACCCACCAGGATGGCTGGTGTCAAAAAGATGGACAAGAACAAGTGTTGGTGAGGATGCAGAGAAACTGGAACCCTCGTACATTGCTGGTGAGGACGTAAAATGGCGCAGCCACTTTGGAAAACAGTTTGGCGGTTCCTCAAAACGTTAAACATATTCGAAAAATTCAAAAAGTTAAACAATTCCACTCCTAGCTCTATACCCAAGAGAACTGAAAACATGTCTTCTGTCAAAAACACATAAAAGGGCTTCCCTGGTGGCGCAGTGGTTGAGAGTCCGCCTGCCGAGGCAGGGGACACGGGTTCGTGCCCCGGTCCGGGAGGATCCCACATGCCGCGGAGCGGCTGGGCCCGTGAGCCATGGCCGCTGAGCCTGCGCGTCCGGAGCCTGGGCTCCGCAACGGGAGAGGCCACGACAGTGAGAGGCCCGCGTACCACAAAAAAATAAATAAATAAATAAATAAAAATACAGGATATTAAAAAAACTTATAAAGAACAGTCACAGCGTTATTTATAATAGCCAAAATGCGAAAATAATTCTTTCAAATATTCTTTTTAAATTTTAAGGGTAGGTGGCAGGGTTTCTTTGACTGATATGGGGGTGGATTAGGCCTGCCTCTGCATGGAAACCCACGGGTGGGCAGCACATGGGGGAAAGTGCAAGGGCTCAGGAGCCAGAAGCCTGGGTTTGAGGCCAGGCTCTGTCACTGGGTAACCTTGAGAGACTTGTCTGTCACCTTCCCCATGAGACGGGGCTAAGACAAGTACCTCCTGCCAGTGTGGGTGTGACAGTTACTGGCATGTAAAGTACTTACCACGGTGTCGGTGTGTATGAAGTCATCCACCAAGGACAGGATGTGCCCTCTGCCCCTTCGGTCATCACAAGCCAAAGATCCTTCTCGGCCTCCTCAGCCACCCTCCCCTCTCGGCCCTAGGGATGGCTGGGGTCTACCCAAAGGAATCCTATGGGTTCCTGCCCCAGGGGGCTAAGAAGCAGGGACTGTGGGTGCTAGCTCCTGGGCCTGAGGGAAGAAAGCCCTCCCATGCCCACCCCAGCGTCACCGAGGCCCCCGGCCCATGGGGACAGAGGGCCTTCTGTTACCTTCAGGAGCTCGTGGTCATCCAGCCCACACAACATCAGCTCATGGCCCAGTTTCACCATCTCTGTTGGAACACAAGGACCCAGTTACCACAGACACCCACCCAAACAGGCAAGGACACCACACACCCATGCAGGGTGCCAAGTGCTTCCCTGGTAAGGGTGCTCCTGCTGTAGCGTCAGCAGGCCCAGCACCCATGAGGCCGGGTTGGGCCTGCAAGACCCAGGTAAACAAGGATGCAGGTGGAGGACACACCAGGTGCCAGGACTGCCTCTTGCTGTGTGACCTATACCCAGTCACTGCCCTTTTCTGGGGGCCAGTTTCCTCACCTGAAATAAGAGGTCGCACTCAATTCTCTTCCATATAGGGAACTCTTGCTTCTAGCAGAAGCCAGCCAGCTGCCTGAGGAGCCCACAGAGGCCAGGGAACCTTCCAAACATGCTGTGTGTCACCGTTTCACAGACCTCGCCAAGCCAAAGCAAAAGGAACCGTCTCACATTTGTCAATCTCCTACACATCTTTCATGCCATCATGTCCCTTCATTTTGCTGGCAACCCTAGGAGATGGCAACCCTTTCATTTCACAGATTGGGAAACTGAGTCCCTGCATGGTGCAAGGAATGCTCGGCCACGTCTTCCAGGGAGCCCTGGGCATTTTCTGAGTAACCATCTGGTATACGAAGAAAGGCCAGAACTTGGAGCCAGAAAGCCTGGGAATCAATGCTAGCTCCATACCCCCTCCCCCCAGCCCTGCAGCAATGCCCTTACCCTCACAGCTCCCACCCTCATATGCCTCAGTGGCAGGACACACATCTGCTTTGGAAGGTTTGGTGCTAGAAGCAAGCAGAGCATCCATGTGAAAGCATCAGTCATCCTGGAGACACGGTACAAATGCCAGTTATACCCCCAGCACATGTGCTCAGCCCACATCCCTTCACCCCAAATCCTTGCGTACTCCCTGGCCCCCCTCTCACTTTGCCCACATCCGAGTCTCATCGTGGCCGGACTCGTGCCCTGTTAGACCCAAAGGCAGGCTGCAGCCCTCCTCAGAATAAAGGCCAACATCCTTCTGCGGCCCACAAGGCCTGGCCTGATCTGGCCCCGTGGTCCCTCTGACCTCATCCCACCCCTTGCCCTCACTCTATACACTCTACGTCAGCCACCCCGGCCCCCTGGCTGTTCCTCCAAGCTGCCAGCCACACACAAGCCTACCTCAGGCCCCTTGCGCTTGCTGTTCTCTTGCCCTGAACACTAACCTTCCTGATACCTGCCTGGCTCCCTTCCTCCCTTCCTGCATGGCTCTGTTTTTTTAAACAGAGGCCTTCCCCAGCCACCTTGTGTCAACAGCTCCACCCTCCTCCCAACCCACCCGAGCACCACCTTGCCTTCACCTGGCTTGTTTACGGCGCTTCTCACCATCTGATGCACTGAGAATTTGGCCGCCTTCTGTGCATCAGCTGTCTCTCTCCCAGCTAGCAAGTGAGCTCCGTGAGAGCAGCACGATTCACTGCTGCACCGCCAGCACCTAAAACAGTGCCGGGTGCACAGTGGGTGCTCCATAAATACCTGTCACGTGAATTTGTGACTTCTAATCCCCCTACCTGTCCCGGTTTCTCCCAATTATACTCTTTCACAAGCACTCATGTCTACCACCTGCTCTGCCACTCAGCGCACTCCCATGGGGTGGGCAAGGCTGAGCACCCACACTTTACAGAAGAGGAAACTGAGGCTGGGAACAGCAAGGGCCAGGGTCGGCACCTGTGCGTGCATGTGTGTTAGAGGATTCAGGTGTGGCCTGATGACCAGGCTCGCCCGGCCTCGACACGGTCCCATCAGGAGGAAAGTGCCGGACATGACAGTGCTGGGGAGAAGGGCAGCGCCTCTGTGCAGCCCAGGCCGGCCCTCAGGCCAGCCCCGCAGGCTCCAAGACACAACCCCTGTTCTTCTGGCCCATTGCAGCCTCTGGGACAACTGTCCCCAGATAACTAACTTGGCAGTGCCAGCAGCGGCACGGGTCAGGAATCTGGGGTCCAGCTAACCCACCCTGGAGCTGGTGGGGGGAGGGAACACAGGCCCCTGGAGGGATGGACCTTTGGAAACACTGTTGTGTGGGTGAAGAGCCAGCCACCATCTTGAGGACTGCAATGCACTCCCCTTCACCTAATGTTCATTGCTGGGTTAAGGACAGTTTCTGCCAAAAAAGGATCAAAAAGAAGCGGTTCCAAGATAAGGCCCCACAGACCCACAGAGAGCTGCCCAGCGTGCTCCCAGGA